TGTGCTCAGCAGAGAGTCTCCTTGAGATTCTCTCCCTCTCCCTCCCAACACCCGCTCCCAAACCCACTCCCTCTCTCTTTCTCTCAAATAAATAAATCTTAAAAGGAAGGAAGGGAAGGAGGGAGGGAGGGAAGGAGGGAGAGAGGAAGAAATACTGGTCACCTTCTCAGTAAGACCTACCTGGGCAATCCTATTTAAAATTGTAACTTGCTCTCATCACCGGCATACATGATCCCTTTTACCATATTTGATCCCCTTTACCGTCCTCTAATTTTTTCTTTTAGCCATAATATTATACTATAACATAGTAAATAATTTACTCATTTAGTATACCCAACATGAAAATTAACCATCCCCTTCTTTTTATTCACAGTACTACTGCTATAGTTTAATCATTATCTCCCCACTAGACCAGTATTTTTCAAACTGCAGACTGCTCCAGACCAGCTTTTTCTCTTTTTGCAAATGAAAACTAAAATGGAAAAAAAATTTTATCAGAGGGCTCCTGGGTGGCTCAGATGGTTGAGCGTCTGCCTTCGGCTCAGGTCATGATCCCAGGGTCCTGGGATCGAGTCCTGCATCGGGCTCCCTGCTAGGCGGGGAGCCTGCTTCTCCCTCTGCCTCTGCCTCTCTCTGTCTCTCTGACTCTCATGAATAAATAAATAAAACATTTAAAAAAAAAAAATTTTATCAGAGTGCTTCGCACATAGTAAAGGTATATTCTTTTGTGACATTTGCTGTGATTATACACACACACAAAATTCAATTATTGCATACTGAGTTGCATGACACACTGAAGACACTTATTTGTGAAAGAATGAATGAATGAAAGCATGTCATCATATACTGCTATGATTTCAATTACCAGCTATTTGTGATAATCCTGAGACACCATTTATTGAACAAGTATTCTGTTGAATGTCACTTACCATTTTTAAGAATGGGAAAAACAAAACTAAGATTAAATAATTTGTCAAAGGTTATATGGTTAGTAAGGAAGAGAGACAGGATTCTAACCCATGCTAACACCAAAACTCTCCCCATTCTCTAAAAACTTCTGTAGCCAAGAAATTCTGTTTTTGTTGAAGTTTGGTTTTGTTTTGTTTTCCAGTTCAGCTCCTTTCCACTTCAAGGCCTTAGTGTACCCAGTTTCTTCCATCTGGAATACTCTCCTACCCCTATACCCCATCCCCACTTAGAACCCTCAATCTAGCTGAAGCCTCATTCCTCTGTGTGTGAAGTTTAAACATCACTTCCTAAAAAGTTTTCCCATACACTCCAAATTAGTTAGCTTCCCTCAATGATGCTTCCACAGCATTCTGTCTTTTTCTCCATAGCACAAATCACATTTGTGGTACTTGTTTGATATCATCTTTCCTACTAGATTACAAGTTTCTTGTGAGTAAGGACCAGATCTACCAATACACAGGGATAGAGTACACCGGGAGGACTAGTACTACACACTCAATTCATTGAATAATAAATAAATAGCATCAGAGTCCTTAGTCCCCCCAGACTAAAAACTAATATATTATTTTCATAGCCACATGAGAAGTTGTATAATAAAGTACTTGGGCTTTAGGGGCGCCTGGGTGGCTTAGGTAGTTATCATGATCCCAGGGTCCTGGGATGGAGTCCCGCATCAGACTCCCTGCTTAGCAGGGAGCCTGCTTCTCCCTCTCCCTCTACTGTTCTCCCTGCTTGTGCTCTCTCACTCTCTCTGTCAAAAAATAAATAAAATCATTAAAAATAAATAAATAAAGTACTTGGGCTTTAGAGTCGGACAGAACTGAATTAAAGATCTGGCCCAGTTACTCATTAGGGAACAATGAGCAAGATACTTAACCTCTCTAAGCCTCATTCACAAAATAATCACAAATACCTTGCCATAAAGATTAACTATCCTCTTCACTCACATTGCTATTACTACAGTTTAAGTAATTATCATCTCCCCTCTTTTTTTTTTTTTTTTAAGTTTATTTAAGCAATCTCCACACTCAACATGGGGCTCTAACTCACAACCCAGAGATCAAGAGCTGCAGGCTTTACTGACTGAGCCAGCCAGCCAGGAGTCCCTATTTTATATCCCCTCTTGAGTAATGTTTTTCAATTTTCAGACTGCTTCAAACCAGCTCATTTTTTTAATGGAAAAATACAGAATTGAAAACAATATATCAGAATTCACGCACACATTGAGGGCATATTGTTGAAATACATACAGAATGCAACTGGTGTTTATTGGGATGCAATATTACATGTACAACCTATTATGGGTCGCAGTCAAAAAATTTGAAAAATACTGCTACACTACTGCTACAGATAAATAAATAAATAAATTATTAATTATTAATAAATTAATATTACTATAATATTAAATACAGAACAGAGGCCGTGGTTTTATTCACTACTGTGTTCCTAGAACCTAAAACAGTGTCTAGTATATAATAGCACACTAAATCTCTGTTGAAAAAGTGAGTGACAAATCTGGCCCCAACTTAACTTTTCAAACATACTAATCCTACAGTATTCCTCCTCATTGCTATTTACAGAGCCCAATGTAGTTTTCATGTCCAAACCTTGGCTTACTCTATTCTCTTAGACTAACAAAACTTTCCTCCTTTTCTCAAACAATGCCTTTTTACTACATTTCACTTTCTTAAAAAATCTTATTAGAGGCCCAAAGTCCACAAGCATGAAAGGAAACATGGTAAATTATAATGTGACTATGTAGTACATTAAAAAATACAGTTCTAGGGCGCCTGGGTGGCTCAGATGGTTAAGCGTCTGCCTTCGGCTCGGGTCATGATCCCAGGGTCCTGGGATCGAGTCCCGCATCGGGCTTCCCGCTCCTTGGGAGCCTGCTTCTCCCTCTGTTTCTCTCTGTCTCTCATGAATAAATAAATAAAATCCAAAAAAAAAAAAAATACAGTTCTGTATCATACATTCAAATTTTAGTTCAGTTATAGCATACATTAAACATTTCACTAACAATTTAGCATGCCATCTTAAAATTTAAAAGGTCTTTTGGAGGATCACTTAACCCATACTTAATTAAAAATGTGAAGTCTAATTTAATACCTCTCTCTTAACTCCCTGTAGGCACTCAAAATCACACCATGTATTATTCTTTTCATAAACAGAGCAACACAAAAATATCTAAAGTCATCACTAAGGACTAAAAAGTCAGTAATCTGAGTATTGCAAATCAACTAGCTTTGCAATCTACAAGTTACTCTGTTCCTCATCCACAGATAAGCCAATTTGAAGACACAAGTTGTTAAGAAGAGACTATCATAACCACTGGTTTTGGCAACCGTTTTAGAGGCTAAGAAGAATGTTCACAGACTGACCTTTTTAATTTCCACATATTAAACACTTAATATGTTCCAGAAACTTAACTTTATATACATATATTTACATAAATGACTGCATCACCTCCAAGTCTTTGGGGGGGAAAAAAAAATCACCATTCGACTGGAACTACTACTTTCTTTCTCCTTTTGACTATTTTTCACACACACACACACACACACAAAATCCTATGTTTCATGCAGATTAGTTATTAACATCCCAGAAAAGGTTCTGTTCTTTTCCTTATTTATTTTTTAAGATTTTTAAATAATCTCTACACCAGATGTGGGGCTTGAACTCATAACCCCGAGATCAAAAGTCACGTGCTCTATTGACTGAGGTGGCCAGGTGCCCATTCTTTCTCTTTATGACATACGTGTACACACACCTTTTATAATTTGATTTATAAAATTCTTTTTCTTACTCAACTATAGGTAAGCAAGCAAAAATATTACCAAATACTCTGACACTACAAAAACCCTGTTTTTCAACTCTCACTTCAAGTATCTCATACCACCTACTAATTAGGCATCTTTGGTCAACCCCTAATCATTCCAAAGTTCACAATCTAGGAACTAGAGTTCTTTAGCACAACTCCTTTCATTCACTTTATCCCTACCAGAAGCTGAACAGTGGAAAGTTCCAACTTGTGCAACTCTAGAATGAGGTTATAAATGGGAGGGGTGAGGGGGGTACCTGACAGTTGTTTTTTTCAATCCACTTAAGATCCCAGAGAGACCAAAACACTTAAGTTCCAACCTGAGCTTCATACTTCCCTGTATAAAATGTGTTTTCTTAAGCTTCAACCTTTCCAGCTGTAAAAAAAAAGTTTAAAGTATTTCTGAACAGACTGGATCAGCTGCCAAATAACCTCAAGTCCTTAAAGAGAAGGCAACATGAACACCAAACTAAAAACAATTTAATCGGCATAAAATAATATAGTATTGTCATATCGTCAATAACACGTTAAGAGCAGTACGACTTAATTAAAGATGTGATTTCAGAGCGAGAAAAACACCAGCGCTGGTTTCTGATTACAAAAGGTAGATACTGTTTTTAAATAGGTGTCTTTAAAAGATCCTACTAGGATCTTTAATGTCCGATTTTCCTGATTATGCTACGCTGCCAAAAGCTCTGGCTGATCTTTGGGGTGCTGTGACTCAGTGTCCCAACAGTGTGGCTCGTGTAGTCGGAACGCGGAACGTGCCACTACATGGCGCCGACAAGCTTTTAACAGAATTTGAATTCTCTCAGTCCTCTGACGGCTACTATTGAGCCCCTTCCACTTCCAGTCGTCCCAGCACACTGGTTTCCAGCTCTTGGGAAACCTGGGGCTTCAGACTTAACCCCCCAAACGCTTCCTAAGTCAACGTGGAGGCCCGCATTTCCCCGCCCTTCTTCATAAGGCGCACTCGTCAGAGAAACGTTTGGTCTAACTAAGAAAAGTAACCTCGCCCTGCTCCACCCAACAGGTGGGAAGGAGAAGGGAATGGACAGCTGGGAGCCGAGGCCAGGCCAGGCCTCAAACAGGGCGGCTGAGGGAGGCCGCAACCCCAGTGCGGCCTGAAACAAGGCAGGCCCCATCCTGCCCCGCCAATCACCCCCCCGCACCCCGCCCGGCCAATTCCAAGACGCCCGCCCCGGCTGACCTGACGACGGATGCCACTCAATGCCATGAGCCGCAGTCTGGGCCAACCGAGCCGAAGAGGGCACGTCCACCGTCTCCGTCCCACAGACTCCGCAGCAGCCGCCACCAGCACCAGGGCCGCCTCGTCGAGAGCACGGCGCGCATGCGTCGGTGCCCCTGAGGCGAAGGAATCACGTGGTAACGCTGCGCGCAGGCCTCGCCCTCCGCGGGATCCTGGGGCGGGGGGGAGGGGCAGTTGGCCCCGCCCCTTCTCCGCCCGGTCTCCGCCCCGCGGCCGCCGCCGGAGACCCGGCAGCTGCTCCTGCTGTTTTCTCCCGGCTGTGGGGACTTTCTAAGCCAAAAGACAGTGTTTAGGGCCTTTTACATCCTTGATCTTAAACACAGACAGCGCTCCACCCCTCCAAAGGAAAATATTGTCTTTCGGGGCAAATCTAAGGTTTTCCCAACAATTGCCCAGCTTTTACCCCTTTACCTACTAAACATGAACAGAAATTCAGCCTTAACTCTCTACTTCAGGATGATATAGACTCTGGGTCCTCTCAGGTTTCCTCAAGAGGAAACATTAAAAAAAAAAAAAGAAAACAATAGAGGAAACAAGTTAGGGGCTTGGGGAATTGATCATTAAAGGGTTATATGAAATTATCCTCTGGACAAATGAAGGCTGCTTACATTGACAGTATTAGCAGTCCTTTTCAGTTACATTCCCATCCTCACTTTAAAAAAAATTTTTTTTTTTTCCGAATCTGGCCTCTCTCCTATTTCCGCGACAAGGTTCCTGAGTTCACCCACCACTTGCCATGCAATCTCTGTTGAAGGTTCAGTAGTATCACAATTGCGTTGCGAGTTCCTCCTTTGGAATCTGATTCCAAAAATATATATATATTTTTTAAAGATTTTATTTATTTGACAGGGAGAGACATAGTGAGAGAGGGAACACAAGTAGGGAGAGTGGGAGAGGGAGAAGAAGGTTTCCAGCAGAGCAGGGAGCCCAATGCGGGGCTCAATCGCAGGACCCTGGGATCATGACCTGAGCTGAAGGCAGACTCTTAAGGACTGAGCCACCCAGGCACCCCTGATTCCAAAAATATTTCTCTGCAAGATGATGTTTCCTATCTACAATGCTGTTAATCATAAATCCTCTCAATAGCACCTTTGCTTTCAAATATCAAAATCAGGGGCGCTTGGCTAGCTCAGTCAGAGGAGCCTGCTACTCTTTAACTCAGGGTAGTGAGTTTGAGCCCCAATTTGGATGTAGAGATTACTTAAATGAATAAACAAACCCTTAAAAAAATCAGTCTTCTTACTGACTGCATTTCACTTTCATCAAACTGCATGTAGTTGCAGCTTTCCCTTTCCATTGCTTCTACTATTGAAGCTAACTTTTGGATTCTCAGGGCAGCTATGCTTTTTACCGGTTTAATCAGCAACTTTTAGATGTTTACTACGGGAAGGAAAGTTAAGGGAGTAATCTATTAAGGACTGGCTCTAATTGCCATGCTGCCTTCACTCCTTTTCTGGTTCTTCCAATCTTTCCTAAACTTATTTCAAATTCTTCATCAGTAAGTAAGATTAGCTCTGAGATCCCATCCCCCTCCTATAGCCATTTTATAAACATCTATCTACTTCTTCATCTTTATTCACTGTAGATTCATTGTTTCCCTTTAGTTTTCTACATCTTACCTTTCCAGAGAGTGCTCTTGCTCCCACTCTCCTGCTTGAAAATCTCCACTAGTTTTCCTCCATAAATCTCTTGCCATTAGGGCATCTACTTTTTGGAGGACCCAGACTAACATAAAAACTAACCAACATAAATGTGAAATTTAATGCAATGTTTTTTGTCCTAATTGATTCCATCACCTTCCATATATCAGTGACTTATGCAGTGGACATTTTTAAATTTTTTTAGCATATGAAACCCCTCCCTCTGGGACATCCCCACTTTCTGAAGTAGAGAGCCTATATCTCATTGTAGAAGCTGAAACTACCTGATACTTTCTTAGTCCCCCTCCACCACACACACACACACACACACACACACACACACACACACACTCTTAGCGATATGAACACAGGGCTTGTAGGGCCAACATCCAGTGTGGCAGTGTGTGGTATCAGTGGGGTGATGTGGTAGCTCTCTTCTGTAATACTAGCAGGCTAGTGGACTAGCTCTGCAATGCAAGGTGGACATTCTTATTAGCTAGTTAGCTTCCCAGTCTCATAAAACTGGGACACCAGATCTTTTTTATAAACCTTTCTTCTGTTTAAATTAGTCATATATAGTTAGTTAGTTGTATTTGCTGGTAAGTAAGAATTGTGAAACAAGTTCCAAGAACAGTTGCAGATAACAGATGGTCAGGGAAATAGAAACAAGTTGGATTAGTCCTAACCAGGGCTGAGAAAACAGTAAAAACCCAGCTGGTACCAACAGAAGTCCTTCTGGGGTTTATGGAACACAGTGCATACAGTACACATATGGTAAAAAATGATTAACTGTAGTCATCTAGAATGATTTGACCATGGAAGGCAAAGGTTTAGGCAGAAGTGTGGGTGGAATTTTATTTATAGTAACACTGGACAGCTTAAAAGAGAATGACATAAGATCAGATTTCTAGGGCGCCTGGGTGGCTCAGTCGTTGAGCGTCTGCCTTCGCCTCGGGTCCTGATTCCGGAGTCCCGGGATCGAGTCCCGCATCGGGCTCCCTGCTCCGCGGGAGGCCTGCTTCTCCCTCTCCTACTCCCCCTGCTTGTGTTCCTGCTCTCGCTGTCTCTCTCTCTGTCAAATAAATATAATATTAAAAAAAAAAAAAAAAGATCAGATTTCTAAATTCCTGAAGTAGGAACCAAAAATTAAGGACTTCCTCTGATAGTAACAGAAGAATTTATTCTTTGCAGCCATGGGGCTGCAAAACACACTCAAAGTTGGGGCCCATGTTGCTAAATTACAATGTCAGTTGATTCCATAGTCTTGTCAGAAATCTTCTATGAAGATTAAGGCATTGTTCAGGAAAGAGCAGAACCAAAGAAGTGAAATGGGCATGTGGTAGAATTCAAATAACTTGAATACCCTTAACTCATTACCTTTCCCTGAGCTCCATTCATCAAACAAAAGCAGCCCCTACTCACTGAACTGAAAAGACTGTTTCTGCCTTAATGGAAATCTCTATAGATCTCTCCTAATCTGTGGAGGCTTCACCTTGCATGAAGAGGCCAATTTTTCTTACTCCCCATTCCCAACACTTATCATTTTTTCTAAACTTATAACAGAATCGGATTTCAGCATATTCTGGATGCCAATTATAACCTCAAACTTGTATAGCAAGACTTACATAGCAAGACAGTTGAAATGTTACAAATTTATGTTGACAAAAATATGGAGAATGCATGAGAAAATTGAGTGCTAGACTGAGAAGGAAATGATTTTAAAGTATATATATGTAATATACATAATATATATATTTGTAATATTACATATTAACATATACATATAAATATGTATAAATTCAATATGCTAGCTTAAACAGTCAAGAATGGTTCAAACAGTTTGTTCTGTAGGAGTGTTGGCATGAACTATTCATGAACAACTTTCCACTCACCTTAACTATGTATCCTAAGAGTGCCAGGTACACTCCCTTTGCCAAGATTTAAGAAATATACAGGTGAAGGGACAGTCAGCATCTTTGGAAAGTACTACAATCTCCAACTTATAATGTTTCAACTTAACAATTTTTCAACTTCAAAGTGGTGCAAGAGTGATTAAGCACACAGCCACTCAATCACAAGGGTAAACAACCAATACAGTTAAACCCATTCTGTACCCATACAATCATTCTGTTTTTCACTTTCAGTACAGTATTAAATAAATTTCATAAGATATTTAACACTTTATTATAAAATAGGCTTTGTGTTAGATGATTTGCCCAACTATAGGCTGATGTAAGTGTTCTGAGCATGTTTAAGTTAGATTCGGCTAAGCTATGATGTTTGGTAGGTTAGGTGTATTAAATGCATTTTTTTCTTTCTTTTTTTACGATTTTATTCATTTATTTGAGAGAGAGAGAGAGAGAGAGCACAAGCAGGGGGAGCTGCAGGCAGAGAGAGAGGGAGAAGCAGGCTCCCTGCTCAGAGGCTCAATCCCAGGACCCCAGGATCAGGACTCAAGCTGGGACGGCAGACGCTTAACAGACTGAGCCACCTGGGCATCCCTCTTTAGTTCTTTCAATCAGTGATCAGTCTCCAATTCTTTGCTGACTTCTGGGTTGATAACAATTCTTGATAACAGAGTGCTAGACTTCTGAGTGCTCAATATCAGTAAGTTACTAAAATACAGGAAATCTTTAAGGCTTGGGACTCTGTTACATAATGAGTATTTTTTTATAATAAAAGCACAGAGATTATGTAAAATCCTCACATTAATAGTAGTGATTATATTTACTGTACTTTTTTTTTTTTAAGATTTTATTTATTTATTCGAGAGCAAGAAAACCCAAGAGCAGGGGGAGGGGCAGAGGGAGAGGGAGAAGCAGACTCCCCACTGAGCAGGGAGCCTATACAAGGCTCAATCCCAGGACCCTGAGTTCATGATCTGAGGCAAAGGCAGACACTTAACCAACTGAGCCACCCAGGTGCTCCTTTACTGTACTTTTTGAATGCAAAATTCATAGTATATACATTAAAAAAAAAAAGGATAATTAAGCTTATACATAAAGTAATGGTCTTCTGCCTTTGAAATTTAAAATTTACGTTCCATATATTCAACAATCAATCAATGCAAATTTAGTAGGCACATTTGCAATGACACAAGAACAATGGTCAAAATTAATAAAACTTGGAATCTGTAACTATTGTTTCAATGGTGCATATCATTAAGGGTTAAAGCAAAATTTAATGATGATTTCAGATTTACAACTGAGGTCAAAAGAGTCTAAACCAGGTGCTGACAAACTACGCAAGAGGTCTGTTTTTGTTTGACCTGCGCTAAGAATGTATTATACATTTTTAAAGGGTTAGAAAACACAA